AAAAAAAAAAAAAAAAAAAAAAAAAAAAAAAAAAAAAGGAGAACAGGGAAGGGTAGAAGGCAGAAAGCATTTTTTCAAGTCCAAAAGTATTTTGCGGAAGCAGGGACAGGTGCTAGGGAAAAAATTACTTAAACTTGGTATAAGCGCATTTCATTGATTGGGCACATGGTTGAAATATAACACTAGTGCAGCTGTTCCAGATCCTTCTGGCAAGAACCTCTTTGAGTCCCAAAGCCTGCTGTAGTGAGATTGGACTATAAATGGGAAAACCTTTAACACAGCTTGTCAGGCAGCTTGGAAATTCAGTGGAAATACAATACAGTGGAATAAATTCTTTTCTTAGACCCTGATATTGCAGATTGTAGGGGGAAAGAGTCGGAGGCAAGTAATTTAAGTTAGTCTTTACTTCTGGGTGGCAAGTTTCTAAAGATTCCATTAAGAAGTTGTTAAAATAACTTTGGTACTCCTTGGTACTAGCTCCTTGATCAGTCCTTTTCATGGTGTCATTATTTGGAGGTCTGTGTCTGTTGATAAAGGCAGGCATGAGTTTGCCTTAGACTCTTTTTTTTTTTTTTTTTTTTTTTTTTGTAAGCCACAGACATCATTTTCTACGATTCATATGGAATGTATGCATTGCCTTGTGATATATCATATATTATTTCAAATTGTTACTTATTTTTTATATTGTTATCTAACTTGTCATCTACTTTTTTCTCTTTCCTAACTAAAATGTAAATCCTTGAGGAATGGACCAGGTTTTAAATTCTTCTCTGTATTCTCTCCTGCACTTCAGCATACTATATGATGAATAAGTATTTTTTTTTTTTTTTTTTTAAAGATGACCGGTAAGGGGATCTTAACCCTTGACTTGGTGTTGTCAGCACCACGCTCAGCCAGTGAGCGAACCGGCCATCTGTATATGGGATCCGAACCCGGGGCCTTGGTGTTATCAGCACTGCACTCTCCCGAGTGAGCCACGGGCCGGCCCTTGCCTTAGACTCTTAACAGTCTCTGTTGAAGTGGCAAAGTTATCTAGAAACAGATTTGGTTCTTTTTATTTGCCTCTTGTTGCATAAACTGCAGAAGACAAAATCATTTTTAAGGGTGGTTTTCCTCTCCTCTGCCTGATTTACATACTGTGTTTAATTTTCTCAAAGTTTTCCCAACCTTTTTTATGTAGAAACCGAGCCCAGTCAGAACTGGCCAGGAATTATATGGTGAGGCAGGGGTCCTCTCTGTGAAACAACTGAGAAGTATCTTTACAGAGCAAAAAGGTCCAATGAGTGTGGTGTATATTAAACACATAATTCAAAGTGCTGCTTTCTGTCTGTCATTCAGTCAGTCTGGCTGCACATAGTGCAAGAGCCCCTGACAGTTGTACCAAACCCCTTTCTAGGAAAAACAAAAAGCATAGCCAAATCAGTCACCAGATTGGGCTAGAATTTAATATTAAGAATTAAGAAGGGGGCTGGCCAGTTAGCTCAGTTGATTAGAATGCAGACTTATAACCCCAAGATCATGGGTTCAGTTCTCCATACTGGCCAGCCACCAAAAAAAAAGAAGTTTGTTAGCAACAACAATTTGAGGTAAGATTCAAAAATAATGGTATATAGTCACGAGCAAATAACAGTAAACAAAAGCTTTCTATCATCCTTTTCTTTACTCCCTCTCTCCAATATTACTTGCATTGGTTGATTGATTCATTCATCAAATTTTTATTGAGGGATTACTGCATGCCAGGCACTGTCCTAAGTGCTTGGGGTATCTCAAGGAACAAAACAGACAAATTCCTGCCCTCATGGGGTTCATTCTAGCAGGGAAAAACATTACAAATAAGTTATATAGTATTTTAGAAAGTGACAAATGCTAGGGAAAAATGAGCATTGGTAAGAGGATCGGGAGTAGAGTAGAGGAGTAGGTTGCAATTTTAAGTAGGATAGTCAGAGTGTTATATTTTATGGCAGTTGTTTATATACCAACCTTCTAAATTGTAAGTGTCGTGAGGCCAAGCACTATTTTTTAATTCATCTCTTAGCTCTCATCTTAGTGCCTTGAACATAGAAGGCACCTTGTGGATGAATAAATGAAGGAATGGATGAGTTAATTACTTTGGTTTAGGTGAGGAGACTAGGGAAATAGAACACTTAGTTCTCCAACAGCACCCTATCTTTTCACCTCTCCACTGTTGCTTTGTGTTGCTTTACCCCCCATGGATTTGTCATCCCCCCATGGATTTGTCACCCCACTTCCTCTGGGTGACAGAGATGAAAAGATTACTCAAAGCCCATCTCTTCTGAGCAGTGAGAGACCCCGAAGCGGTTAACTTCCCTGGAACCACCCAAGTGAAAGGCATCCCTTCCTTGGGAAATTAACCCAGAATTGGAGTTCTCTTCCTGCATTTATTTTCCAGACCAGGAAGTTACAGGAGGAGAGTATAGGTGGGGGTATAGTTTAACAGTATAGGCTGGTAACTTTCAGTGAAACAAGCCAGATGACATTCCAGTAAGGCAATTAAGTGGTCCTATCAACACAAGCTTGATCTTAGCAAACATTCCTTCTTACAGCAATTTCTCGGTATCTTTACATAACAATCAGTAACTAGTCTGTCCTTGAGCCAGCAACCTTGCTGTGCCACAAATCTTTATCTTATGCCAGAGACTTATAACCTGAGGAAAATTTCCAGTCCTCCACAAGGTCAATATTTGAAACTGCAAGGTTTTGGAAAACCAGGCCCTGTGAAGTACATATGCTTTATAGTATATTCCACCCTCCACTCCTTTTCTTGTCTTTTTTTCTTTTCTTTTTCCTGCTGGGTGGCTCATGAACTATTGGTACTCTGGACCAAAGAAGTTCTGTGTGTCTAGCATGTATGCTGAAATGATGCAAGGTAGAGGAAGGAATTCTTGGTTGGGTACAAAATAAAGATATCCACAATAAGTCTGTGTTCTGACTCTTCTTTTCTTTGGGAAATGATATAATATGGTTAAGAACATGGGCTTTGAGCTGGACTGCTTGGGTTCAGGTCCTGTTTAATTAATTCATTATTAGTTGTATGACTTTGGGCAAGTTTTTTAACCTTTGTGCTTTGGTTTCCTCATAGATAAACTGAGAATAGTGATAGTACTTCATGGGATTGTTTTAAGAATTGAGAATTCTCAGGGCTGGCCCGGTGGCACACTGGAGAGTGCGCTGCTTGGGAGTGTGGTGGTGCTACCGCCGAGGGTTCGGATCCCATGTGGAGACCGGTTCCCGCTCACTGGCTGAGCGCGGTGCGGGCGCAACACCGAGGGTTGCGATCCCGTTGCCGGTCCCGGTCTGGTACGGGCGTGACAGTGAGGGTTGCAATCCATTACCCGTCAGTAAAAAAGACAAAAAGGGGAAAAAAAAAAAAAAGAATTGAGGGGCCGGCCCGGTGGCGCACTGCTACAGTGCGCCGCTTGAGAGTGCGGCGGCGCTCCTGCCGAGGGTTCGGATCCCACATATAGACCGGTTCCCGCTCACTGGCTGAGCGAGGTGTGGGAGCAACACCGAGATTTGCGATCCCGTTGCCGGTCCCGGTCCGGTACAGGCGCGACACTGAGGGTTGCGATCCGTTGCCGGACACGAGAAAAGACAAAAAAGGAAAAAAAAAAAAAAGAATTGAGAATTCTCATGTAAAGTTTTCAGAATAGCGCCTGACACATGGTAAACACTTAGTAAATGTGAACTCTGACACCTTGCCCTGAGGTATAGAATATGAAGGTGGTGAAAGCAGCCATAATGAAGATGGAGGGAAATGCCCATATTTGTTCAATGCTTATTCCTTGCCAAGTAGTGTAGACGCCTTATACACGTTTCATTTATCTTCATTAAAATCCTGGGTAGGGCTGGCCTGTGACGCACTTGGGAGAGTGTGGTGCTGCTAACACCAAGGCCACAGGTTCGGATCCCTATATAGTGATGGCTGGTTGGCTCACTTGGGAGAGCGTGGTACTGACAACACCAAGTCAAGGGTTAAGATCCCCTTACTGGTCATCTTTTTAAAAAATTAAAAAAAAAAAATCCTGGGTAGATGTGAAGGTCAAAAGTTAGGAAACTTGCTCATAGATCTGGGATTTGAATTTAAGTGTGCCTGACATGAAAGCCAGTGTCATTTTTGTTATACCATGTTAAGGAATGTTGTAGAATGTGCATCCCAAACAGAGGCATGTTTGGATAGGAGACTATCTGCTCATTTATTTCTTCTATATTATGTGTCAACAAGCTCATGGTTATGTGCCAGCATGAAAGTTGATAAACCTTGGAGAATATTCTGAATTGAATTTATCAGCCTAGGAAGATTTCACAGAGGAGTATTTTGATTTAGGCGACATTCTTTTGTTCCAAAAGAATGAGGTGGGTGGGTGGATGGGGAAAGGGGAGATGTTAATCAAAGGGAATAACATTTTAGTTAGACAGGAGGAATACGTTTTAGTCATTTTCTACACGTAATGATGACTGTAGTAATAATATATATTTCAAAATTGCTAAAAGAGTAGATTTTAAATGTGTTCACCACACAAAAAATGATAAGCATGTGAGGTGATGGATTTGTTAATTACCTTGATTTAATCATTCCACATGTAAACATATATCAAAACATCACACTGTAACCCACAAATATATAATATTTATAATTACTGCCTACCAATTAAAAATAAAATATCTCTAAAAAAGAGATTAAGTTAGTGGGTAGGTATCTTTTCCTGGAACTTGGCAGGATGGAGTGGGTTCTCTTGACCTAGCAGATTCCGGGACATACACAGAGGATTACTTCTGTGCCTAGAACCTCAGAAGAAAAACATACTCTCTATTCTGTGGCTTGCTTTCCATCTCTGGCAGAGAGAGCTGTGTCCTCTGCATAGACCTTTTTTTAAGCTGCTATTGTTTTTGAGTGCTCTCCCAGGAAATTAATTGGTTTACTTTTCCAACTAGGAAGAAGATTCTCTTCTTAATATCTGCAGGGAGATTGTGGAGCGATGGTCAGAAACTCAGAATGTTGTCACCAACGTGAAAAAAGAAGGTAGAGTTGTCGTTTTTATGTCTAATGTCGAGTGCCTTTTCCATCAGCCTTTACTGTAAAGCTGTTAGGGAGACAGTTTTGTTTTTTTTTTCTCCTTATTTGTCTTTTTTTTTTTCGTGTCCGGCAACGGATCGCAACCCTCAGTGTCGCGCCCGTACCGGACCGGGACCGGCAACGAGATCGCAACCCTCGGTGTTGCCCCCGCACCTCGCTCAGCCAGTGAGCGGCTGGTCTGTATGTGGGATCCGAACCCTCGGCGGGAGCGCCACCGCACTTCCCAAGCGGCGCACTATCGCAGTGCGCCACCAGGCCGGCCCAGCGAGACAGTTTTTTATTTTCTTCTTTGGATACTTTTTTTCTCTAAGATAATTTACACTGGCAGATACCCAGCACCTTGCTTTAATTTTTTACTGAATATTGTTCTTTTTTTTCCTCCTTTTGCATTTTTCCATTTCAACTGACGACAGTTATGTTCATTGTGGTTTTTACTTTTTTCTTTTTCATCCTCGTTCTACTGCCTCTTGTAGGTTTGCATTGCAGATTTAGGGTCAGCTATACTTTTTCCATCTCCCACCTTTTTCATGTTTTAATTCATAGCACAAATTATGCTTGGGATTTTGCTTATTCATCTTAACACTTTACCCTTTAAAATGGAAGAAAAATGGGCTAATATACTCACCATTAGGATGGTAAATTAGATGCAGAAAACACAAATCATAAGAGACAAACTTGGAAAGAAACTATTCTAAGCTCTCTGTGCTATTGGTTCTAACTCTTGGCTGTCTATTAGAATCATTTGACGTACTTGAAAAAAAAAAATGCCACCGCCTGGGTCACACCATTTAGCAATTATATAAACATCTTTGGGGTTGGGGCCTAGGGCATTGGCAATTTTTTTTTTTTTTTTTTTTTTTGTCTTTTTTCCGTGTCCGGCAACGGATCGCAACCCTCAGTGTCGCCCCCGTACCGGACCGGGACCGGCAACGGGATCGCAGTCCTCGGTGTTGCCTCCACGCCTCGCTCATCCAGTGAGCGGGAACCGGTCTGTATGTGGGATCCGAACCCTCGGCGGGAGTGCTGCCGCGCTTCCCAAGCGGCGCACTAGCGCAGTGCGCCACCGGGCCGGCCCCGCATTGGCAATTTTTTAAAAGCTCCCCTAGACAATGTGCAGCCAAGTGTGAGAACCACTACTGTACACCATTGCTTCCTTTCCTTGGGAATGGCAAACTTAATAGTTGATTTTATTTTAAAATATGGCAAAATAATCTAAGAATTTTACCTGGCATTACTATAAACATAAAAGGGACAGGCTTAAGTTGATTCTAGCTTCCTTCTTAGGTTTCTGAGATGAGAGGAGAAAGTTGCATTTATGGAGGCTTAATTTTCTGTGGTTCTTTTTTTGTTTGTTTTTTGCAGCTGACTGATATGGGGATTCAAACCTTTGACCTTGGTATTATAACACTGAACTCTAATCAACTGAGCTAATTGGCCAGCCCCAATTTTTTTTTTAAAGATGACCGGTAAGGGGATCTTAACCCTTGACTTGGTGTTGTCAGCACCACGCTCACCCAGTGAGCTGACCAGCCGTCTCTATATGGGATCCGAACCCATGGCCTTGGTGTTATCAGCACCGCACTCTCCCGAGTGAGCCACAGGCCGGCCCGAACCCAGCCCCAATTTTTTGTCATTCTAATGCAATGCTTTTCAAACTTGTTTTAAAAACAGGAGCACTTTGGGCCGGCCTGTGGCTTACTCGGTAGAGTGCGGTGCTGATAACACCAAGGCCACGGGTTCGGATCCCATATAGGGACGGCCGGTTCGCTCACTGCCTGAGCATGGTGCTGACAACACCAAGTCAAGGGTTAAGATCCCCTTACCGGTCATCTTTTTAACAAAAAAACCAGGAGCACTTTAATATATGACAAGTAAAATAAGGACTGCTGACTGGAGGTGGGTACAAGACGTAAAGCCTGGCTTGTATAGACTTTTCTTGCCTTTCTCATTGGTCCCTGAGGCACATCCTTTGTACCTCAGGGCTCTAAGGAGTCAGCAGGTGCCAGTGTCTTTAGTACAAATGCTGCCTGGGTGGACTAGTGGTTCATTGAGCTTGTTTTTTCTCATACAACCTTGTTGTCCCTCACTTCTACCATCTCCCAGATGAGGTACAGGCCATTGCTACCCTAATTGAGAAGCAGGCACAGATCGTAGTGAAGCCCAGGATGGTGTCAGAAGAGGAGAAGCAGAGAAAAGCAGCCCTCCTGGCCCAGTATGCCGATGTGACAGATGAAGAGGAATATCCTTTCTGGAGTTTTGGCACTATTCCCTGAGGCTCAAGCCAGAAATGTTTGCTGGTTTACCATGACCTCTGGGAACTTGCTAGTACCCTTCTATACAAGTTTAATTTTTTCCTCTAAAATGGCGGTGATCTATGGTGCTTTGTGGGTATGAGGAATGATGTTGGAATAGTTGAATGGGACTTAATTTTTCAATACATAATCAGTATATTCCTGAAAACTTCAGTGTAAAACAAATAATGCCTTAATGCACCATTTATATTGTGCTTTCAGAAAATAAGAGATAGCTGTGATTCCTTATATTTGTACAAGGGTACTTCAAAAAGTTCATGGAAAAACAGAATTAAAAGATAATATGAATCTTTTCATGCACTTTTCTGTATTGTGTAGTATCATATGAATAATCCATCTTTATATTCTTTTCTAGTCAGTAAGGAAATTGAAGAACTAAGAGACAAGTGGGTGATCAGAGACATTCAGAGAATTAGTGGCAAAACCAGGACTAGAACCTGTAAAATTTTGGGTGAAGGATTCCCTAAATTTAGAGCAGTTTCATTTGGATCTTTTTCTTTTTTTTATGTGACTACATATGAGAGGTCTTCAAAAAGTTCATGGAAAGGGCCGGCCCGGTGGCGCACTGGATAGTACGCCGCTTGGGAAGCGCGGCGGCGCTCCCGTCCGAGGGTTCGGATCCCACATACAGACCGGCTCCCGCTCACTGGCTGAGCGAGGCGCGGGAGCAACACCGAGGCTTGCGATCCCGTTGCCGGTCCCCGGTCCGGTACGGGGGCAACACTGAGGGTTGCGATCCGTTGCCGGACACGGAAAAAAGACAAAAGAAAAAAAAAAAAAAGTTCATGGAAAGATTCACATTATTAAAAAAAAAATTCATATTATCTTTTCATTGTATTTTTCCACAAACTTTTTTTTTTTTTTTTTTTTTTTTTTTTTTTTTTT